GCCGTCGTCAAGGAACACCGTCACTGCTAACCAACATATTGGATCAGCGTCGTCGCGTCTCGCGTCCACTGGCCATTAATACGGTTTTTATTGTTTTATATTTTATGTTCATATTATGAGTTATTGTTGTTTATTATATTAAGGTCCCCAAGCCGGCCGGCATATCTGTGTCCCGATATTTATTATATTTCGTTTTATCCAAATAGTAAGCCGTCACACGGCAAAACCTGAATCATTTATATAGTTTGTTATTTTTTTATACCATCATACACTATACAGTCCACATTATCGTTTGAACATTTGGTCCTTCGCGCCTAGGATATATTATATTCTAAGTGATCACCACCTACCGTAAAAAAAAAAAAAAAAAATATAAAATAACAAATATTCAGATCATATTAACTAACGTAATTTAGTAATGCGTTTGTGTTAGTTGCTATTAGATTACGTAATTCGAAAACGGCTTACCTATAAAGTCGTTGCGAACCGAATCGCGGATGGACTTTGACCGGTGTTAATGAGTGACAATATTATCACGCGATCCTATTAATTGTTATATTCGGTGAGTATAATTAAAATATATAAAAAAATACGATTAGGGCATAAATGAGATTATTAAGTTAAGTAGGTCATTGATGTTAATAATATACATTTGGTACCGTATACACCGTGTAAAAATAAGCTGTATACACCGTGATTAAAAAAAAAAAAAATTTTGTTTTGAGGTACGTTGTTTAATTGTAAGTTACGAGACAAATTAAAAATAGTTACAATGGGCGTTTATGAAGAAGCGAAGATTCGTCTTCAGGACATTCAAAATAGAATAAATAGAGTACGTGCAGCTGGAGTTGCATTGGAAGAAGACCCAACCAGTAGAACGTCATTAACAAAATTCCGAATGATGTACGCTACAGTTCCGCGGTTGCAAGAAGACTTCGAGGCACAACTGTCAATCATTATAAAGCAATTAGGAAAACCGGAAAAGGATCAAAGGCCGGAGGAAAATGTATATTCACCGGATGACCTGCGTGAAAGATTCGATGAGTCGTTTTTCAGTATTATGATTGTTGCAGACGACCATATACCGGCACAACAATTGGGAAATCAAGCAGATGAGACATTCATTGAAAGGAATAGCGGGCGAAGAACTACATCTAATATTATACCTTTGGAAAAATTGTCTATACCACATTTCAAGGGTGACCCTAGAAATTATATGGGTTTCCGTAACTTGTTTGATACAGTAGTAAATGAAAATGAACATTATTCACCTGTGGTTAAGTTCACTTATTTAAAAAATTACTTAGAAGGTGAACCGTTGAACTTAATTAATAACTTAATGCTCAGTGATGAAAATTACGAGTTAGCTTTGACAATATTGAAGAACCGTTATTCAAATCGTCGGGTCATTGCGGAGAGTCATTTCACGCACCTCTGGGAGATGAAAAAGGCCGTATTCAATGATGGCAAGTCGATTAGGCAGCTGTTGAACCACATAACAGAGGCTATCGGTGCATTAAAAAATTTAAACTACGCCATAGATCATTGGGATCCGATATTGTTGCATTTGTTTCAACAAAAATTGGACGGACAGCTGCGAGCTCAGTGGGAGCTGCTTGTAGACACTGCAGAGGATCCAAGCGTTTCTGAATTTGTAACATTCTTAACTAAGTTCTGTAATGCCGCGTCAGTAGGAAGTCTGGCTAAGGCTGAAGGAGGACGAGATAGATTTACAAATAAGTCTCAAACCAAGACAACTACGTTGCACACAGCTCAATCATACCAACAACCTACTGCAATAATGAGAAAAGGGAAAAACGAAAAAGGAAATAACTTCGCGTGCCAGGTGTGCCAGGCGCAACCTGGACACTTACTAATACACTGTACCCGTTTCAAAGAAATGACACCAAGGCAAAGACATCAGACAATCCAGGACCTTAGGAGATGTTTTATGTGTTTTAGTGAGCATTTAGCGTCACAATGTAAATCCACCAGAGCATGCGGACAGTGTAGCGGGCGGCACCATACGTGGCTGCATCTAGGCGCCCGGAATGACACAGCTAGCGAGGATGGGCCTACGGGAGAACCAGAAGTGACTCTAGTCCACGTGTCAGCTAAAATTCGAGATTACCGTACCAGTGTGCTTCTGGCAACTGCTTCGGTTTCAGTGCAAGACTCTAATGGACAGTTTAGATCGGTACGTGCACTGCTAGACAGCGCCAGTCAGAGCAGTTTTATAACCGAAAATTGCTTCAGAAGCCTAGGTTTGTCTCGGCACAAAAGTAATGTGACTATCCAAGCACTTGCAGGTACGCCAGTACCAACAGTAAAAGGATTTACGCAAGTATTAGTCAGACCAAACGAACAAACATCGCCAACCCTTACCGTGGAGGTACTCATTTTACCACGCATAACCGGACTAACTCCATCAGCTCGAATATGGAAGACCGATTGGCCTCATATAGCAGATATAACTCTAGCGGATCCTGCGTATCACGAGTCACTACCAATCGATATACTCTTCGGAGCTGATGTTTTTCCACTTCTCCTTTGTGGTGATAAGCGAGAAGGTGGTTTGAATGAACCCGTCGCGTTGTCCACCATTTTTGGTTGGATATTGATGGGACGTATCGCGGATACGGAAGAGAGAACTACGACTGCACTGTATACTACTTTAGAATCCATAGATCAATCTGTGCAAAGATTCTGGGAGTTGGAAGAAGTACCTACGGCTGATCGGAAAACGCCAGCGGATGTGAAATGTGAGGAAATATACACCAGCACTACATCAAGACAAGAGGATGGTAGATACATTGTTCATCTGCCATTTATCACCAATCCACCGAAATTAGGAGAGTCGAGGCCCATAGCTCTTAAGCGACTGCAGCGACTTGAAACCAGACTAGAAAAGTCAGAAGATCTTCGTAAGCAATATAACGCAGCAATGCAGGATTACTTGGACAGCGGTCACATGTTAAAAGTACCGCAGGCACAGTGTGGGGTAGAACCAATTTACTATACCCCGCATCAAGCAGTTATAAAGCTAGAAAGTACCACCACAAAATTACGAGTGGTGTATGATGCTTCATCAGTAACAACTTCTGGGCTGTCGCTGAATGATAATTTATACCCGGGACCAAAATTACAGCAAGATTTACCGGGAATAATTTTGCGTTTTCGTTTGCATCCGATAGTCTTCACTGCGGATGTCAAACAGATGTTCCGGCAGATTAAAGTGACACCAGAACACCGCCAATACCAACGATTGCTCTACCGGTTTTCATTGGAAGAGCCAGTAAGTGAATTTGAAATGACAACAGTGGCTTTCGGGCAGCGTTCTTCCCCCTTTCTCGCGATCAGGACCCTGCATCAATTAGTAGAGGATGAAGCTGAACAATATCCCGAAGTGAAACAAGTTGTGTTGCAAGACATGTACGTTGACGATGTTGCCACCGGATCTGACAGTGTAGAAAATGGACTGGCATTACAACGCGATTTGAGCTTGGTTATGGGGAAGGGGCAGTTTGAGCTTCGAAAATGGAGTAGTAATTCTCGTGCGCTCTTGGAAGCTGTGCCAATCTCACACCGACAAACGGACCCAGTCACCTTCGATGTGACGGATGGTGGGACCACCAATGTTTTAGGACTTAAATGGATGCCAAACCTGGATAAGTTAAGCTACAATGTCCGACCGAATCCAGTGCGTTATACCAAACGAGCCATCCTCTCAGAAATTGCTCGAATCTACGACCCTCTTGGTTTACTATCACCAGTCACAACCGAGCTTAAAAGGTTAATGAAGTATCTTTGGTCTATAAAACTCGGTTGGGATGACAACGTACCAGAAGAAGCGGCAGAGGCCTGGACACGTTATCACCATGAGTTGCTAGAGTTGTCGTCGCTTCGAGTTCCCCGTCGAGTGACCAGGGACGGCGGAAAATATGAGTTACACGGGTTTTCTGATAGTTCCGAAGCCGCATATGCAGCGGTGATCTATCTACGCGTCGTGGCGCCCAACAACTCAGCAAAATGTTTTATGTTAATGGGTAAATCGAAAGTTGCCCCGTCAAAACGGATCACGATTCCAAGATTAGAGCTTTGCGGCGCATGGTTATTGGCTCGATTATTACATTTTGTGCTCCAAAATCTAACTAGAATCAATATCGAAAGGGTGATTGCCTGGTCTGATTCTACGGTGGCCCTGGCATGGATAAAGTCACAAACAGCGCAACTGAAGACATTCGTAGCAAATAGAGTTGCACAAATACAGCAAACAACCACACCAGACATGTGGAGACATGTACCAACCAAGGAGAACCCGGCAGACTGTGCATCAAGGGGACTGTCGCCAAAACAACTCGCCCATCACGTTCAATGGTGGATGGGACCGACTTTTCTCAGAATGTCAGAAGAATATTGGCCGTCCACAGAAGCAGAGATGGCAACCGATGAATCTCGTGAGGAGCAACTTGAGACGAAGTTAATCACGCTAATTACGACCGAAACCTTGGCAGAATGTCCGCTATTGTACCAGTCGGACAGTTGGACAAAAATTACGCATTTGGCTTGCTATTGGCTGCGAGTACGTAAGCGTCTCCAAAAAAAGGAAATTCCAGACCGTCAGACACCACCCACTTCCGCTGAAATCGATGAAGCTATACGGGCATTGGTGCTATGGACACAACGAGTGTATTTTTCCGATGATCTCAACAATCTGAAACATAACCGAGCATGTTCCTCTAAGCTGAGGAAGCTTGCTCCATTTCTAGATTGCGAAAACGTGATAAGGGTGGGTGGACGTTTAAAGCGTGCAGATTTACCATTTGAACAAAAATGTCCAATTCTATTACCTAAAGAAGCACGGATGACTCAGCTTTTGATTGACCAGGTACATAGAAGCAACGGCCACCCAGGTGCACAAACCGTACAGAACATTATACGGCAACATTTTTGGGTATTGTCGGCAAGAAGTGTTATCCGAAAGCAACTCCACCGTTGTATACCATGTTTCAGAGCACTACCTCGAGCTCCTCGCCCGATCATGGGAGATTTACCGCAACCACGACTTGAACAAATCAAACCATTCGAGAAAGTTGGCGTTGATTTTGCGGGACCATTTGACGTAAAGGCTGCTCTGTTACGCCGACTGCGGGTCACAAAGGCATACATATGCATATTCGTATGCATGGCGACTAAAGCTATACACATAGAGCTTGCATCGGACTTGTCGACGCCCACATTTATCGCAGCCCTCGAACGTTTTATCGCACGCCGAGGACGTTGCACGGAAATATATAGTGACTGCGGGACTAACTTTGTGGGAGCTAATCATTACTTAAAGGAGGTGCAAGACATTTTGAAGTCTTCTACAACCATAAGTTATTGTTCCTCTAATCAAGTAGCCTGGCACTTTAATCCCCCTGCTGCGCCGCACATGGGGGGCCTCTGGGAGGCAGCCGTTAAGTCGGCTAAGGGGTTATTACGGCGGATAGTTCAAAATCAAGTCCTTACCTACGAAGAACTCAATACCATTCTACACAAAATAGAAGCAACCCTAAATTCAAGGCCATTAAGCGCACTCTCCAGCGATCCTAACGACTTTGCACCACTCACCGCAGGGCATTTTTTGACTATGGGTCCACCAGCATCTATACCACAACCATGTACACAAAACCATCCACTAGCCCACACTCTACGTCAACGTTGGACCCTGGTTCAGCAGATCCAACTTCACTTCTGGCAACGATGGCAAAAGGAATACTTACAAACTCTACAAGCGAGAAATAAGTGGCAACGTCCAGATAGGAACCTAGCGGTGGATGACTTGGTCATCATTCAAGAACCCACACCACCACTCACATGGAGTACAGCGCGCGTCGTTAAAATATACCCTGGCGAAGACAACGTCGTCCGAGTAGCAGATGTCAAATTAGCCAATGGAAAGACTCTCAAGCGACCAGTGGTTAAGTTATGCCTTTTACCGCTGTGATTGAATGTGGGACCATTCAAGGTGGGCGGTATGTTCGGGCGTTTACGTAATCTATGTGATAGCGAGTGGTTATGACCGTACACAAGCCATACGGCGAACCGGACGATCAGTTGACGTCCGATACCGGTGTGCCTGTGTTTTGCGACGAACCGTATTACCGCGCGTCTTTTGTGCACCTACCTACTACACGGACCGATTTTCAATCGTTCTGTTACCGTCATTTTTCACCATCACTCTTCACCTCGGACCATTCCTCGTCACCATCACTTCACCAGCCCTTGTCGCCGTCGTCAAGGAACACCGTCACTGCTAACCAACATATTGGATCAGCGTCGTCGCGTCTCGCGTCCACTGGCCATTAATACGGTTTTTATTGT